CTTCACTGAGTTACGCAAGCCCCTTCGCCACGACAAGGCAGTGATCCATGAAGGGGAGATGATTCTATAGCACAGCTTATTTATTCAAACTGATCCAGCAAAGAAAAAGAATTAGGACTGTCAGAAAATTTTAAGGAGCAATAACAGTTGATATACAGTGGTGCTTAAACATTGTGAACCCTTTTGAATTTTCAATATTTCTACATAAATATGACCTAAAATGTGATCTGTTCTCTACACAAGTCCCAATACTAGATAGAGAACCCAATTAAACAAATGAGTCAAAAACATATTTTTTCATTTATTTATGGAGGGAAATGATCCACAGCTACATATTTGTGTGTGACAAAAGTATGTGACCTTTTACTTTCAGTAACTGGTGTGCCCCCCTTGGGCAACAATAACTGCAGCTAACGTTTCTGATAACTGTTGATCAGTCCTGCACATTAGCTTGGAGGAATTTTAGGCCATTCTTCAGTACAGAACAGCTGTAACTCAGGAATGTTGGTGGGCTTCGGTGCATGAACTGCCCGCTTCAGATCCTTCCACAACATTTCTATAGGATTAAGGTAAAGACTTTGACTTGGCCATTCCAAAACATTAACTTTCTTCTGCTTTAACCATTCTTCAATTGGATGACTTGTGTGTGTGGGGTCATTGTCTTGCTGCATGGCCCACTTTCTCTTGAGCTTCAGTTCACCTACAGATACCCTGACATTTTCCTGTAGAATTTACTAGTACAATTCAGAATTCATAGTTTCATCAATAATGGCACACTGTCCTGGTCCAGAGGCAGCAAAGCAGGCCCAAACCATAATATTGCCACCACCATGGGATCACAGGTGGGATAAGGTTCTTATGCTGGAATGCAGCTTTTGCCTTTTGCCAAACATAACACTTTTCATTCAAACCAAAAAGTTCTATTTTGGTTTCATCCATCCACATATATATGCCAAAATATTGAAAATTCAAAAGGGTTCACAAACTTTTAAACATCCCTGTAGGGAGCAAGATGCTGGATGATAGATTCAGAAAGATAAGAGTAGAAAGTGGGCAAAAGAATTTCTGAGAAGGATAGAGATGCCTCATTGCACTCACTGCCTACAGAAACTTTTACCTTAATAACATTCATATGTTTATGTGCGATCTATATGAGTGAAATAGATTTATTTTGATTGCTCTGGTAATCATGGTAAATTTATTTTAACAATCCACCTCATCTTACAGGAAAAGTTGGATGAAGCAAATGAAGCACTAGATTCTGCATCAAGATTAACAGAGCAGCTGGATCTGAAAGAAGAACAAATTGAAGAACTTAAAAGACAAGGTAACAAGATTATTTAAAATTTTGCAAACAAAATACCATAATGTAAGGTATCTTTTATTTTAGTAAAGTTAAAAGTCAGTGGAAAGTTGTAACTGAATCTTCCTCTTTAAAAGTTGTTTTACTTTCTACAATTCATGTAAAGAAAGAAAGTAGCTGCCTTGTGTTTGTACAATTATTTCTTCCTTCATCAGTATCGTAGTAGATTCACTGATATGACCATTGGTATGCCCCATGTTCTTCTTATTCTAATGAGGCAATAAGACACACTTCAACAATTTAATTTAAAAAAGAGTTCTTAAGAATGGAAATGTAGTTGAGTTATTCCTGTGTACTTTGATGAATGCATTAACAGAAAATGAAAGGACTCTTCTTGATTGCTAACTTTTCCCTGAACATCATTAAGAAATTACTGATGTTTTGTGGACATTGCTCATTTTTATTAGAAAACTGTCAAAACAATAAGTAAGATAAAATAGCTTTCCATAATTCCATAGCACATAGAAGTTCTATTGGTCATAAAAATCAAGACAATTTGTCCTTGTAAGAAAATAGGAATGGGAAACCTACTTTATGACGAATATAATCTGCTCAAACTCCAAAAATGTATCATAAATAATATTTCATCAAATAGTAAAGATCTTCTGTTTTCAACTATTTTTATCCACTCCAAATCATATATTTAATTTCTCTAGTGGGTCTTTTTCAGAAGTTGAAATGACCCATATTAATACTGAGAACTACTGCATTAAGTGCTCTCCTTAAGTTATAGTTAGGTGGGCAGCCTGTTGCCTTCCAGTTGTTACTGAATTCTGTTTCCCAGCATTTGTCATCATTGACCATGCTAGCTAAACAACTGCATTTGAAGCTGAGAGACACCTGGTAGGACCAAATGTGGTCCACACCTGCTGAAATGTAGTAAAAATTACAAGTATTATATCGATACAATAAAATATAAAATTCCTTCCCTTTCCACAAGAAGTCTTATGTACTAGGTAGCTTTTATTTTCAGAAAATACGAACTTCTAGACTAAAAAACAATCATTTCAGGCAGACACTTGGCTGTACAAATAGTGAATCCAGTTGTGCATTTGCCTTCAACTTTGCCTCCTTATTTTTGGACTAAATATACTGAAGTGTTGATGAATGCTGCTGTAATATATTTTATTTACGTTTTGGCCAGACAGTAGAAAGATTTGCCAACAGAAACTTTTTTTTTTCAACAAAGACGCTAATACTGCTTATTTTAGTAATGCAAATATATAAAATGTAAGAAGAGCAGTATAGACCAACTTATTTTCCATAAGTCAAATTGAGATTAATTGTTTCTTAATAGTACAAGTTAAATATATTCATAGGGACTTCTGTTTTAGCAAAGTATAATTGAAATTCTCTTTGTGGTAATATTTTTTATAAAATAAGTGTACCTTAAAGGCAAGCATTCATTATTAAGCTAATTTCTTGAATGAAGATTCTGTCAATCTGAGCATATTGGCAAATCAGAATGCATAACTTAAAAAAACTTAAGTCATAGCTAGAATCTGAGGTGGGAATATTTTCAGGAGAAAGAGCAGCATGCAAAAAGCCAGACTGCATTTTTATCATTACTTTTCTTTCAATGGTATTAACTGTTTTGTTTGTTGTCCTTTAAAGAAAGTAGGTACCTCTAGTTAGAAAAACTGAAGAAAATCGAAGTAGTTTACAGAAATCAGAATCAGTACAAAATATAAAACTGTGTTTGGGTTATACTGAGCAAGATAGCGCTTCACCTTACTCTCATGTAATGCACAGCTGCCTTGATCATTAGATGTGAGAATAGTGTTTGTGGTCAGTGAAACAGTTGGGGATGTGGAGAAATTTGGGATTTGGCCACATGAGATCAGCAACCACTGCATGAGAAACTATGATGCTTATTGCTTAATTGTATAAACATTGCCCTAAATTCCAGCTGTGTGTTTACAGTTGTACTTTAATAGGATAATAGCACGTAAAGCACATAGTACATCTTGCAGCCAAGTTTCAGTGTGCTTCATGCCCATTTTTTTACCTTTGAATTGCCCTCTTGTAATTGGCATGCACAACTTTTTTTAGATTTATGTCAGCTGGTTATGATCGACCAATACTTTGTCCTGTTGTACATAGATCAGTTAATTGATCAAATACTATTGGGTGATCAGTCAAATATTTGATTAAATCATTACATAGGTAGTAGCTTCCTCTATTTCAGCGTAGTCAAGGCTGCCAGATCAGGCTGCAACAGCAAAGAGAAACAGCAAATTCTTTGCAGCCTAAACCCAGTAGCCCTAATAGTGGTGTTATTTGTTAGGGAGTGTGGAATTGAATGTTGTTAATGCTATGCTCTGCATTAGCAGTATAAGAAAGATTCCCCTACAGCCACTTGTTATATCTGCTTCTTCTCGTTCAGACATTTGCTTGCTTCTGACTTTTGTAATCCAACAGACATCATTTTGCCAGGAGTGTCTATTACTCACTGCTTCTTTGAGTTTTTGTAAGATTGCACTTTATTTCATGGCTGTAGTCACTATCCTTGAAAATTTTGAATGTTGGAAAATGTTATACTACTTTAATGCCTTCTCTGCCTATTTACAGTGGGTTGGCATTGCTTCTTGGCATAATCTTAGCTGTTTTTTTTTTTAAGTATTGAGCAGCAGACAGGATTTTACACACACTTCTTTCACCTTCAGCAACAAAAATTAAAAATCTTTCCCACTTCCAGCCATTACAGTGGTATCAGCATATCTGAGGTTATTGATATTTCTGCCTACAATTTTAGTCCCAAATTTTACTTCTTCCAGTCTAACATTTCTTATGAGATACCTTGCATATAAGTCAAAAAGGTAAGGGGACACTATAAAACCAGTCTCTTTTCCCACTTTTGAACTATATAGTTGCTTTATATTCTGTTCTAACTGTTGCTTTTTGGTCACCATACAGATTCTTCAATAGGCAAATGAGATGGCTCAGTACTTCCATATTTTTAATGGCTATCCATAATTTGTTGTAGTCTTCACAGTCAAAATCCTTGGTATAACCAAGGGACTCCCTTGCCTTTCCTACTATTCACTGGATATTCACAATGTGATCTCAGGTACCCCACCACTTTTGAACACAGCTTGTACATGTGGCAGTTCTTGTTCCATGTATTGCTGCAAAATCATGAGCATTATCTGACTAGCATGTGAAATAAGTGTAATTACTGGTAGTTTGAACATTCTCTAGGACCACCCTTTTTCAATATTGGAATATGAATGGAATGATACTCCATTCCAAACCCCTTAAACCCTGGCTAGTCAACTGATGAAGTTGAGATCTTGTCCTGGTGCCTAGAGGCTGTAAAGGGCTAGATGAGGAGGAACAGATGTAGGCTCATCTCTAACAAGACTGAGTGGTTGTGGGACCTTCCCAATACAGGGGCTTTTCATCTTTGATCCTGAATGGGCTTGCACTACCCCACTCAGGACTGGTACACATCCTGAGCTCTTCCAAGTGGAATGGTCGTACATCGAGGACTACCTGTACTGCTTTTGAGTATTCAGGGCACAGGGCAAACTTATCCCATAGAGTTATGCCATGACTTTGCATTGTACAGAAGGAGGAAATTTGCAAAAATATTTATTTGAATAAGTCACTGTGTGATAGACAAAGGGAGAATGATCCATCTAGCCTGTTTATAGATAGCTTCACAGCTTTAAAAAATATGTTTAATGCCTAGAAATCATAGTCTGTTTGGGATGTGTAAGATTCAGGACTAAATTAGGAAAATTCAGTGCTGCTATTCCTGTCAGTGGAAACCTCACATGAGAGGTTTGCACTTGGAATTCTTCACCAATGGTTTCTTATCTTTTGATTTTTTTTTAATTGGGTCTCTTCCTGCAATGTGTGGCCAGCTTCACTATTTATGAAGAACATTAGTTAGTGGGATTGGAGAATGAAACATCCCCCATTCTCTCTTTGTGATTTAGCTTAAGATTATTGGCCAACTTCTTACCAAGTAAACAAGTACAAGTATAGTAAAAGCATAAGAGTCTTTCTGTGGAGCATGTTTATTGCATAAATTTTGGATGTGTTGAAAAGAAAATGGGTTGGAGCTTATTATATATCAAATCTTACCTTTAGCTAGTTCACTTTTTTCTTTTCTCAAGTAAAGGAGACTTTATTCAAAGGCTATTATTTGCACAAGAAAACATATAATGTCTTCTTGAATAGTGGCCAGATACATTCCGAGACACGGTTTTCTTGGCCTGAACTGCTGAAGGATTTTTAAATTGATTATTTTGGCAGCAGATATTACAATTGTGGAAAAACAAAAGACATACTAGATTTAAGTTTTTGAATTTCCATAAATGGTTAACAAATTGAAGGAGAATATTTTAAGTATCTGGGTCCACAGAAGCTTTGAAATTTAGCCCTGTTCTGTCTAACTTACCATCATTAATATAGTATTATATCAATTTCTGAGGTTCATAATGTGATAGAATAAATTGTATGGGAGACAGATATTTATTGATTAGTTTCATTCATCCAGTAGACAGCGTGCATATAGAGTGTATTGTTTAAAATTCACAGATGTTAGCAACAACCCTAGAGTCCTTTTACTACACTAGAGGTGCATTATTCATACCTCCTGCACTAAAAGTATTGTCAGCTAGACTTTTGTTCTGAGCCCAGTTGGACTGCATAGCTTGGACATCTCACAGAGAAGAGTGAATATTCTATCAACTCCTCCCTATAGTGCCTCCATCAAATCAAAGATATACACATAGATGAAGATGAAATTATGGTCTCATTTGATGTCATAGCACTCTTTACATCCATAAACCCAGAACTTGCAAAAGTATTCATATTAGCAGTACTACACAACACACCCGACCTAACCAAATACACCCAGACCGAAATACCCAGAATCATGGACCTCATCAACCTCTGCCTCACTACCTATTTTCAGTTTGGTGACAAATATACCAACAAATCAGAGGCACACCCATGGGATCACCACTGTCATTCCAAAACACCTTAAGCAAACCAAAGCAGAGATTGTAACTCAACGCCTAGAAACTATAGCACTTCCACACATACAACCTAAAATATGGATCCGGTATGTAGATGACCCCTTTGTTATAATAAAAAAGGATCAACTAGAGAAGACAAATGAAACTATCAACCACATCTTCAAAGGAATAAAATTCTCCAGAGAGGAATTAAATGACAACACGCTACCCTTCCTGGATATCCTCATCAGCAGAGGAAGCAACAGCAAACTAGAAAC